ACACACATGTCAAATGGAGCAATAATCTCTAGAATATATAAAGAACTCAAAAATCTTAACACCCCCCAAAAATCCAATCAATAAATGGGCCAAGGAACTGAACATACACTTCTCAGAAGAAGATATACAGTCAACAAATATGTGAAAAAATGTTCATCATTGCTAGCAATTAGAGAAATGCAAACCAAAACTACCCTAGGTTGGCTCATCTATATGCACTTCAGATCTTCCTCAGGACTCTCAGAACCATATATTCTTGCCATTAAAGCCCCTTCTTGCTTTCTCTTAGACTATAAATTTCTTAGAATGTTCTCCTTATGACACTTATGACAATGACTAGTGTTCTATATATGTTTTATATACATTTAGCATGTATTAAGTGCCTATTATGTACAGTACATAGAGTTAAACAAGACAACAAAATAAAAAAAGTAGAAAATCATATTCTAGCAGTATGTTAGGAAAGTATTTGCTCACTTTTGAAGATATAAAGGTATGTTTAATAAGATGGATTTGAATTTGAAGTAAAAAGATGTCAGCATCCTAAAGCATAATAAAGCAAATAAAAATATTTTATCCAGATATCAGATAAAATTTTACTCTGCAAAATAGATGAAGCTTTTATAGAAATATATGTAGTGTATTATAGAATTTTGCTTTGATAATAGGAGGAGAGACACAGTTTACATATGAAGAAAACAATAGAAAATCTTTATGAAAGATAACATAGTTTTTCTAGCAATTAAAGAAACAGCTCAAACATGCCAAAGTACATTTATTCAGTAAAAGAATTTACTCAAGAAGCATATCGTGGTACAAGCAAGCGTTAGCACAAAAAAACCTGTTGAATGAAAGCATTAGATGGAAAACAGGTTCTGATCCCTGTTTTTTTACTTCCAAGATACTTAAAAAAACAGACTCTCTTTTTTTTAAAAAAAGAAAAACAGTTTTAGGTTTTCAGCACAATTGAGAGGGAGGAATAGAGAATTAGCTGACCCCAGGTACAGATTCCCATACCATCAAAATCCTGCAGCCAAGTATCATGTATTTGTTACAATTGATGAACCTACACCATCCCATTGTTACTACACGAAGTCCATAATTCATATTAGTGTTCACTTTTGGTGGTGTATATTCTGTTTTGGCAAAGTTATGACATGCATTTGCCATTAGAGTATTATACAGAATAGTTTCAATGCCTTAAAAAAAATGATGCCTACTTATCCCTCGCAATGATTTTTTAATTTCTTTAGTTTTGTCTTTTCCAGACTGTCACATAACGTTCTCTTTTATACTTATTAATAAGCATTTGAAGTTCCTCCATGTCTTTTCATGACTTGATAGGGTATTTCTCTTCAGAGCCGAATAATATTCCATTGTCTGGATGTACCACAGTTTATTACTCATTTATCTACTAAAGGACATCTTGGTTACTTCCAAATTGTGGCAAATAAAGCTATTACAAAGATTTCCAAGGCAACTTTTTGTTCCCTATCAGTCATTTAACTTCTCTCGGGAATAATTTTCTCATCTGTAAAATTTACCTGATGATTTCTGAGGATTCTGGTGTTTGAAATATGTGGTTATCTTAATAAGAATTTGAAATCTTATGTTATCCCGATTGTGACTAAACTCAATATCATTATATATTGCTGATGTCATTATAAATTGATTAAGTTTTTCTGCTAGAAAGGTGTCTGGTCCTATATTACAGAAATTATAATCTGTTCTTTGATCAGATAGTTCTATTTTTGAGAGTTTTGCTTCAAGTAAACCCAAGTAGAGGTTAAAATGTAAGATTTTTTATACAAAGTTTTTTGTTTGTTTGTTTCTTTTGGGTAATAGGGATTAAACATGGGGCACTCTACCACTGAGCTGCATCTCCAGCCCTTCTGTTTATTTTTTATTTTTGACACAAGGTCTTCCTAATCTACCCAGGTTAGCTTGAATTTGTGATCCTTCTGAGTTGCTGGGATTGTAGGCATATATCACCACTACCCGCCCACAAATATTTTTATAGTAGGGTAATTTATAAAAGCCAAATAAAACTGTGGGAACAATTCAGATGCCCAGTAGTAGAGAAATACAAAGTAAATTACAGACAGCAACCATGACTATTCTGAATGATGTGTACCTACTACTTTACTTTGATGGTCTAATTATTTGTAATATATGAAAAGACTGAATAAGTGAATTTAACAGTATTTACTAAATATAGAAAGATAATGGAGATGGCATCCTCTTCTGTTCTCTGTGCATTGCTTCATTGCTAAATGCTGTGCCAGCTGTTGCTGTGCTGGACTCCATACTTTCCCCTTTTAATGATGCCAGCATGGGTATAGCAGATAAACTTCTCACTTGGAAAAGAAGGTCGCTATAGTTGTGAAGGGTGCCTGTATGTTTCAGTTCAGCCAAGAAAGTCTTGGCTTATGCCTAAAATCTCAGTATCATCTCTTGCACCCTTAAAAGTATACCTGTTTGGACAGTAGCTCACCCTGAGGGTCTGGCTTTCTCAATTGTATAGAAGGGAAACCTTGTTATTTAAATTAAGTTTACTTTGACAAACAGTTAATGCTCAATAGAGGTAATATCTTAAATCTATTGTATTGTGAGATTCAAAGGGAAGTAAGACAAAGCCTCTGCCAGCAAAGAGCTTCACATTTTATTTACTTATTTATTAGTTCTAATCAGTTATTCATGACAGTAGAAAGCTCTTTAATTCATTGTATACAAATGGAGCAGAATTTTTCACTTCTCTGGTTGTATATGAAATAGTGTCCCACCTTTTGTGCATACCTCTTTAGTTTACTTTGGTAAAAAATAGCCTCATCTATCAGATGTGCTCCTATCCCTGGTTCCTGCCTTAGCCCCATCAACCAAAGAGGACTCCTTTCTGACTTTTCTCTGACTACATGCCACTTGCCTCTACCCTGCATTCCTGTGAGGTTTAAGGGGATATTCCCGTCTAAGAACCTGGGTGCCATTAGTCTGGGTACCTTGCCCAAATGGTTGAATCTGCTTCCAGGGCCTTTGTGGACCTATTCCTTTGGATACGTGTGCACATAGGCCCTTACAAGCCTGATGGGATGGGATGGGATGGGATGGGATGGGATGGGAAGGGAGGAGAGGGGAGGGGAGGGGAGCAGAGGGGAACAGACAGCAGTCTAGTAGAAGGAACTAGAGTAGACTCTCCCTCATCCTTATACATCCTGAAATTCAAGAATTTGTACCTGGACATTCAGGTAATTTTGAGTGAATATTCATTGAAGTAGGAGAATAGAACATACTTTATATAATAGTTTATTATCTTGAATTATAGCTTGTAGATACTTACACACATGGTAACCAGGCCTCCATTTGCAGTCTTGCCCTTGACCCTGCAAATATTAGAGGCAGGCCTATTCACAGTACAATGTAAAGGATGTACCTGTGAGAGCCCATACAATCTTATTCTGTCCTTTAACCTGTGCTCTGCTGGTTCACCAGCTTTCCACACTTCCATCTCCCTTGCATTCCTTGCTTTTCAATCCTTTGTGAAATGCTTTTCCCCAAAATTACCATGTGGTCTCTTAAGTCTTTTAGGTCTTCTCCTCCCTGCCTAGAGTCATTTTTTACTAGTAAGATCTTGTCTGTCCAGCCTTTCTAAAAATTTACCACTTCCCCAAATACTTACTATCCCCCTTTCTGTCTTTTTTACTTGCCTTAGTACTCATCACTATCAAAAAGTCAGAAGTCGGGGCTGGAATTGTGGCTCAGTGGTAGAGTGCTTGCCTAGCAAGGTGGGGCCCGGGTTCGAAACTCAGCACCACATAAAAATAAAGATATTGTGTTGTGTCCATTTACACCTAAAAAAATAAATATTAAAAAACAGTCAGAAGTGCTGAAAAAAAAATACTGAACCAACTTTTCTACTTAAATGTCCTTTTTTAAAAACCACCTAAATATTAAAACTTTTTTTCATACAAATATTTTAATTTTAAGGTCTTCAAGTTATTCATGTGCCTTCTTTAGAGTTAAGTCAGTAGTTAAGGGTAATTACTTGAAGCAGCAGTTCCCCCATCCTGCCCTCGGATTTGGGTTAATTACTTTCCAAGTTTATTGCATAATTTTTAAAATTTCCCACTATATCTCAATAGCATGCTTATGTTGCGACTTCCTAACTTTTCAGTTTTAGGCCTTTTATTTGCTTTCCACTAAACAGTACCAGACATAAGCCCCCTTTTACCACTATCATACCTGTGCATGCATACACATGTATTCAGCTCTTTTCTTCCCCATAAATCTTAATCATTTAATGAAAATTGTGAGTTTAGTTAGACCAAGATTTGGCATTTTATTTCTATTTTTTATTTGGTACTGAGACTGAACCCAGTGGCACTCTACCACTGAGCTACACCCCTAGGCCTTTTTTTTTTTTTTTTTTTTCAGTTTGAGATAGGGTCTTGCTAAGTTCCAAATGTTGTCCTGGAACTTGCAACCACCCTGTAGTTGTAGCTGAGCCACTTAATGCACTGTGATGACTTTTCCTTCCCCAACAGCATTTTATTTTTCCTACACTTTATAATTGTCCTGATTTTGATTTTGTTTCCTTTTCTGTTATTTGCATGAATTTCATCCCATGCTGTCTAAGTATGTCTTTATTCAGTATGTTCAGACATGTATTTTCTACAGTTTTCCTTTTATTAAAAAAAATACTTTCAAGAGTTTTCAGATTATTGTTAATCTGAATGGTTGTTCTCAGGGTCTGCTTGAGTTTGACTGAAACTATAGAGATATCTCTAAGATTTATTTATCCTTTACAGAGCGTTTGGGCAGTTGTTGTAGATACAATTGCTGTTGTTTAAAAAATACTATTTGAGCAAATGATGGTAAGTAGGTACTTACCATCACATATCTTTTATGTGTTTTAATTAAGATGACTTTTATTCTAAAATACAGAACGCATTATATTTGATTTGCATAAAATATATTAAGAATTGCACTGTATTCTTTCTTTATAGGCTCTCAAAATTCGAGAGTTCTGTAATTGCCCACCGCTTTCTGGACCAGACCCTCGATTGCTATTCAAACTCAGCATGAAGCATTTTCTTGAAGAATCAGAAAAAGAGGACCTAAATATCACTGTTAAGAAACAGAAAATGGATACTCTTCCAATCCAAAAGCAGGAGCAAATACCATTAACATATATAGTTGAGAAAAGAACTGGCAGTTGAATTAAAATTTATGAGACTAAGGACATGTGAAGAATACAGCAATCCTTATTTTTGTGCTATTTTTTAAGAAATGATGTTCAAAATGAAAAAAAAAGAATATCCAGGGTCAAATCATGTATATTACAGATATTATCTAAATTCTTCTATGAGGTATTTATTTTTCATAAAATAATGATGTATTTTAAAATATCTTTAATGAGAAAAATGTCACAGAATAAATTTATATTACACGTCTTGCTTTCTCATACTTGCCTTTGATTTGAAAGTCAGACCCCTAGAGGATAAGAAATCTGAATGTGTAATAGTTATAGGATTTCAGCCTAAACTGGATTCCAAAGTCTGGATGATTATGATGAACTGGGAATTGGATGTCTGAAGGTATCTGTTTGCAGGAAATGGTTTGCATTGGTGGGGAAAGTGGAGGTTATTGGACATGAGGACCTTGGGATAAAAAATTTCCTGGTCTTCACCTATGGATGGGATGACAAGGGAAACAGTCACAGGCTGATGCTGAAGAAGCCCTTTTAGTAGAGAAGTACAAGAAGTGCTGGTTTTGGTCTAGGCAAAGTAGAAACAACAAAGGGAGGAAGGTTCATTTTTATGTTGTCACAGCATATATGGTAAAGTCATGTTATTTTGGGTTCTCAGCAATATTATAGTTTGGAAATCTCTGGGGTTCTCAGAGAAGACAGCCACTCTGTTCTCATTGAGGATACCACTAGGAGAAGGAATGAGATGCTGTCCCCATGTTCATCTCCTGCCTACCAGACATCAACAACAGTGCTGGAGGAGGAAGATGAGAAAAGAAGCACAAATCCCCAGTGATGCTCAGAAATTATGGTATTATATACATTTGGGAGAAAATTTTCAAATATGAGTTTTACTTATATAGTATTATTTGTGCTCCCAAACTGGTAAAGACTAACACTGTTCCAGTTATATTCCTAGGACAGATATTTTCCTTAAAACATATTTTATTGAACAAATAATTTTTTTGAGAAGGGAAAAGGAAAGTAACTATTTTTTTTTAGCATCTACTATGAGTTGGACCCTATATTCATTTATTCTACCACCTTGTGAAGGTTTTATTTTCATATTACAATAATAGGCTTGAAGAGGTTAAAAAAATGTAAGAAGACCAAAGCTATATCTGACTTCCAGTGTAAGAAAAGCAAAGGTATATCTGACTACCAATCTATTTCCCACAACTCTTAGGTATCTTAAGACTAAGCTATCAAAAGATAAGAAAAAAATTCTAGTTTTTTGGTTTCTTCATGTGTGGCTTCAATATAGGTAAACATCTTTATGCCTCATCAAACCTGAGATCACTTACCTTGTCTGCAGGATGATGTTTCAGGTCTTCCTTTTAGACCCTTCTATCAAAATCTGCAGTGGTGAGGCAGCATAGGAAAGTGGGGCCCCTCCCTGCATGTGAGAGCCTGTGGAGTCTCATTTAGGATATGTTTTAATACTGTTCAATTTGCTTTGACAAATTATTTGTTAATTGTTAAGAAGACAAGTTCAGAGCCTATTTTTTCTTTTCCAGGGTTTATTATGTATTGCTCAGAAAGTATTTCTTGATCTGCACACAAGACAACACTTGTAAGGGAGAGATTCACAGTGCCTGTTCTCCATACTGTCATTCTTCACTCTACTGGTGACTGGGTTTTGTAAGAGGTACTCCATAACATGTAAAGACGTTTGGAGAATGTCACCCAGAGGTAAACAGTAAAACACAGTGTTTGATTTCCCTGCAGATTTCCTAAGAAAATAGTGTAGTGGAGACCCTCGTCTATTTTTCCTTCCACCCCATTGTCACATCTGATTGTGTTGTTCAGACTTTCTAGAAAACATGTACCAGTTGACATCATGTCAAAGAAAAAAAAAGCAAGGATAATAGAGGTAATATCTTTATAGTGCATATGAAAAAAATATTTTTTAACCCATGGAATCAAATATAAAAGAAATACTACATTTTGGTCCAAGGTTTTAGGAACAAATAGCAATTAGAATGTAAGATATATGTGTGGTGTGTGTGTGTGGGGGGTGTCTGTGTATTTGAAGTATCTTATTAAAACAACCTCTATATGTTTCAGCATTTAGTTGTAGAACTTTTCTTGTTGCTGTCTGCACTATGCCTGTGCCTATAAGATTTAAATGTTGGCTGTTTAGCTCAATCATTAGGGGTATGAGGCCAGTAAAGGCACAGACTTCATCTAATCTCTTTTACAATGCAGATAGTTGTGAAACTGTATCCTCTAAAACTAAAAGAGAATGTGTGTGTTATTGGTATATATTTAATACCTTATAGTCATGGCACATTATGGGCATACAATTAATATTTTATTATTACTGTATACTCAACATCAATCATCTGGTCAAAGGATAAGAGAATGAAAAAAGGAAAAACAGTCACATTTTGTGAAACTTTGCCTCTTGCGAGCTAGCTTTGGGACGCTGGCCAAATCACTGAAACTTTGTAATCCCCATGTCTTCATTTATTGTCCTCAGAGGTTTGATGCAATGATTAGGTGAAATGAAGTACTTAAAGCAGCATAAAGCCTAGAGCTTCAAACATAACCATTTTTTTTTTTTTTAGAAAAATCAAATGCTTGCTTTGTACCATGTGCCTTTGAACCTCAATCCTGTAAATGATAGATATTATAATGTCCCCTTTGGAGATCCGGAAACTGAAGTTTAGAGGGGCAGTGAAGTTTGCCCACGGCTAAGCTATGAAAAGATGAGGAAAAACTTTACTCGTAAGAACAGAAAAATAACTCAAACTGAGTCAAGAAAATTTATTGCCTCACCTAATGGAAAGCCCCAGAAGTGAACTAGCTTTTGGCATAGTTTAATCCAGAGGATCATGATGTAAGCAAAGCAATTGATCTTTTTCTTTTTGATTTTTCTCAACTGTGGCTTCACTCTTCCCTGATGTTATTTTGTGATTACATGCTTCATTCATACCCAATTGGAAAGAACAACTCAGCCTACAACTATTGCAACAGAGCCTTCAACACTCTTAACTGTGTCCCTGAAGCAATCGCCATGGCAAGGGACAGGATCATCCTGATTGGCCTGGACCCATCCGGATCCAGCCCTGGAATTGAGGAGGGGCACTATCAACACCACAAACAAAATGTGAGATGGGACATGCAACCACATGGCCCAGTGAAGAAGTGGCAGGACTAGAATTGAAACCTGTTAGGTTTATCCTTCTTCAGCAGGCAAAGAAATGGAGTAATTCCTTAAAATGAAGTGATATTTAATCTCAGCAAAAAGAACCTAAGTTTTATCTTGCTTTGATAGTAAATTTGATAGTTTATTTGCTTTACCATACAAGGATTTTTTTTTTACCTGCACTGTATCCTCAAAACTAACCTATAATATTGGAAGAAAAAATGATATTATTTACTCATAGGGGAGAAACTAAGCTTAAAGGAATTAGGCAAATTATCTAAGCATATATTTCAAGTAAATGGCTAAACTGGGATTGGAAATAGAGGACTCACTGATTTGTAATCCAGTGTTCTTTCTGCAATACCACTCTCTTTGGAGAAGCAGGTATCACTTCCATTTTTTCTCTGTAAACTGATGCTCAAAGATATTAAGCAGTGTGTCCTGTACTGCTTGACTCTTAATGAAGAACTGAGCTGCAAATCTCATCTTTTGATTCTGAAGTCTGTATCTTTCTTTCATTTTCTGCCACTTCAGCTGGAAAATCTTATAAATGTATGGAAACTGTGTTTCCCTTCACCCCTCACTAGTAAACAGCAGGACCAGTACCTTTTATCCCCTACTTAAAACCATATTAATACTATTATGACAGAAGGTAAAAATACCATTTTAAGCATATCCATACACATGAAGGGTAAAAGTCCTATTCTTTTAGGGCCTAGAGTTTTGTAATCTGTGGTGAGAAATTCTTCATTCATTTCTGGAAAGAAAATCTCAATATTCCACTTGTTTTTGCACAGAAGCAAATTGAATTTAATTTTTTTCATAATTATTCCCCTTTGATGTTGTAAAAGAATCAAGTGCAACATACTGGGTCTTACTAATCTTATTTTTTCTTTGGGAAACAGGGATGGTAACATTTACCCTGCCTAGTTTTCAGGCTTATTCAGGGTTTTAAATACAGTAACAGGTGTATTCTTCAAACAGCATCCAAAGCGCTGTACTCACACGGAGTTTTACATGCTGGCATTATTAGCAAGGGCATTTCCAGAAAGATGGCCATTTACCTGGCCTATTACAGCTTAGAACTGATGATGTGCCCTGGTCTGGATAGTGCTTCTGATTTCCATTGTTGTGGCTTAGATATGAAATGCTCCCACCCCACCCGGGCCAAATTCATGTGTTGAAGGCTTGGTTTCCAAAGCAGTGTTCAGCAGTGGGGCCTTAAGAAGTGATTGGATCATGAGGGCTCTGATGTCATCAGTGGATTAATCCATTGATGTATCAAAGTTCAACAGGTTATTGGGAAATGGTGGAACTTTATTAGATGGGGCCTTGTTGGAGAAAGTAAGTCACTGGGGGTATCCCCTTGGAGGGCATATTTTGTCCTCAGTCCCTACCTCTTGCATTCTGCTTCCTGACCACCATAGGTGAGCAGCCTTGCTTCACCATGCACGTCCCACCTTGATGTTCTGCTTCACCCCAAACAGTGGAGCCAAGTGACCAGGGACTGAAAACTCTAAAACTGTGAGCCAAAAGAAATCTTTCCTCCTTTAAGTTGATTTTCTCAAGTATTTTGTCATAGTGACAGAAAGCTAACTAAAACATTCACCTGTTTCTATATCCTGATGTTTAACTATAGAGAAATAAGGCCAGCCTTTTCCTAGAATCACCATTCCATTCTCCATATGATAGGCTGGGAGAATAGGAACTAATATTTGTTGATCCCTACTAAAGACAAGATCCTATAAACTTCTCTCCTTTTAATCCTCTCAGCAATCCTGTAAAGGCTGGCTGATTCTCTCAATTTATAACTAAAAAAAAAAAAAAAAATGGGGTCACATAGGACTGTGGTGCTTGACCAGAGATACAAAGATAATCCAGGTCTATGAGACTCAAAAGGTTCAACTGTCGTAACATGCTTTTACACACAAATGAAAACAATTGACAGGGAAACATTTAGGGGTCCTTGCTTTGTTCTGTAGGAATAGCTTTTCTCCTGCTTCACAATCCCTGACACTTTCCAGTATCTTATTTCTCAATAGCAACTCTGCTT